CCGCTTTTGTCGGTGTCAAATCGCTTATAGGTCGTGCAAAAACTGTTTTTTTCTTTCATTTGTACTGAATATTGTACATCATTTATTGTGACTTGCCCCTCCCTAAGATTATTTTTGCGGATGCCCCTGGTCATTCATTCTATCATCATCTTTATCTGATTCTTGTTCTATATTCATATTGGTTCATCTGATGAAGGAACATATTAGGATCAAGATTCTCATCACTACATCACGAATTCAGAATTTCTGGAGTGCAGGGCCCTTGATCATAACCAGAACAGCATTCTGTGATACTATATTTACATGGTTAAATGACTTATTATTATCATAAAGGATACCGCACACTTTAATAGGGAAAGTGGCCCCCTGTCGAATTGGCTGAATTTTTGATATGTTATAGTCCAAGTCATTCCAAACAAAAAGTTCAATGGGCACAACTTTTCCTATAGGCTAGTTTTGGCGCTAGAGGCACTTGAAAACTTTCATTTGTTCTTCATTGTTATAGAACACGGAAAGATATTTTGGGTAATAATCACTATATTCTGCATAATCAAGATCCAAACAGTCATCAATATGAGATACTATCGGAAGTATTTTTCTTCGGTGTTGTTACATTTGGTCAATTATACAGTGTGTTCTAGCTACTTTACAATTTCTGATCTACAATGAGAAAATATTTATGAATCCTATCCTACATCGTATTTTACATCACATATAGTCAAAAAATATAAGGAGTGTTCATTTTAAAAGAAAGCGAGAGTTCGATGAACATTCCATACCTACTGGAAAATATTGTTCGACCGTCTTGTATTTCATGCCATAAAATAGAATGAGAAATAATTCAATGCATAAAAATATTAAAGTCCATATTTCTTTTGGAAATCGTTTATTCATTCTCGGAATTGAGGGTATACCTACTGGATAATATGAAAACATTGCATCCCTTTACTGCAAAAATAAACATGTTTCTGTAGATGGCTTTGGAAATGATGTCAAAGTTTCTAGCAAGGTTTTATTGGTTTGTTACTTCAAGTCAATTTGAAGTAAAGTATGGCGTATAATTTTGCAGTGAGATCTGGATGTTTTGTGTGTGAATACAATGGAGTGATGCACAGAACTTCTTGGCTGACTTAGGTATAGTAGTGAAAATGCCCGTAGCGGCGTAGCACTTGGTCGTGGACAGCATCAACTTACAACCGAAGAGGCAAATACATCTAGAATGGTTATGAAAATGAGATGGATTGTAGAAGCTAGAAACGGTCATATAAAAAATATGTTCAAATTCTTCAAAGATACTGTACCAATGCCACAAGTTCTGATGCAAATAGGAGACTATATCAGAATAGCATGTGCGATAATCAATAAGTATCATGAACCAATCACCATGGAAGGAGCCAATGCTGAGCTAGCTCAGATAATGTTAAACCGTGCCAATGTAATAAATGAACTCCAATTGAGATTAGAAGAAGAGGGTCTGCTACGAAGACATGGTAGATGGTTTTCAATGGATCGAGGAAAACCAATTACTTAATTTTCCAGTTCTCGGTTTGGAGTACTTACGAGAACTTACATTCGGAATTTTTCGAATCAAACTAGCTCCATCTTATGTGCAAGATAATAGACAGGATTTGGGAAATATTTTATTCGAATTCGACGAACGTATTGATAATCCAGGTCTATTGAGGATGAGAGTAAAATCTCGTCATCGGAATACTATCAAATACCAACTGTGGATCAAATACAATATCAGTTTGGAAGGTGTGCCAATTCAGGGATACTACTGTACGTGCAAATCAGGAAATCGTATACATTGGGTACATGTTCCCATGTAGCTAGAGTACTTTGATACCTTGGATATGCCCGTCATGCCGCCAATGTTAAGTATCCTTCGACGCAAATACTTCATACCATATCTGATGCTGCAGAGAGACATAATAATGAAGAACCTATGATTGTATACATGTTTATTGCATATTCTCCCTATTTCTTTTATCGTATTGATATGGAACACCCTGTGAGTTATTAGATGGATAATTAGGGTTCAGTCAAGGGTTTCTATTATATAGGGTCGACGATACCAGGTTGAATGAGTACGTTGAATGTAGCCCATTATTTTCTCCATATTACATTTATACTGAATGTGCGACTAGACGCTTGGTTGACTAAGGAGGAGTTTTTCCTTGAGCATCAATATAATAATCATATTAATACTCATTCGACAAAACCCTATCAAAATGATATTCCACTTTGTTATATTTTCCATGAGTTATTCCATCTATAATCTGAAGTATTAATAGATATAATATATGGAATACACTGTATAATTGATCCCTGCAATGAACAATACTTTCAATAGTATCTAATATTAATGACTGTTTTGATCTTGATTATGCAGAATAGTGATTATTACCCAGAATACCTTTCCGTGTTGTAGAACAATGAAGAACAAATGAAAGTTTTCAAGTGCCTGCTCTAGCGCCAAAACTAGCCTATAGAAAAAGTTGTGCCCATTGTACTTTTTGTTTGGAATGACTTGGACTCCTGGACTATAACATATCAAAAATTCAGCCAATTCGACAGGGGGGCACTTTCCCTATAAAAGTGTGCGGTATCCTTTCAATTTATTTCGATGATATTTCCATTTGCGGTTTCCACAGAAACAGTAGATATTTTATTTCAGTTCCATCGAAATTTGGGTAAGAGGCAAACTGTCATAATCACGCAGCTTATATTTGAATATATATCGACCATACCATCAGAAGATGCGGTATTCTCAGCAACTATACATTATGTATATATCTCCACATTTTGAAACTATTGAATCTCCCAAAATTTCATATATTACACCTTGCTATTAAAGGTTTCCACATTTTCATATCCGGTTGTTCTTGTTTTGCCTAATATTTCATATACTACGTTGTTGTTTATATTATTTGTATTTAATTTCTTGGATGTGTGATTGATTTGTTGAATGTATCTTTCTGTATTTCGTCAAACAAAGGTCGATTCTCATGTTTCCACAATAAAGTGATGATATTCTGAGACTAATTGTGTTTCTTATATAATATACATTTTTTCCATTATTGATTCGAATAATATTCATAAAGAATTCTTGAGTGCCTGATGATGATGGACCTTGTTATCATAGGAATGAGAAGATGATCACAATGAGGAATAATTATTGAAGGAACTTGTGAGGGTTGAAATCACTTACCTCTTTCGAAAATTGGAACAATACTGGAACACACTGGGACACACGAAACCGTCAAATGGTCACATTCGACATTCCTTTTATTTAAAGTACATAAAAAACCGCACATCTGACTTTTGCTCTACGCGATGACATAGCTCGGCGTGAACTGATAGATTATTTACTCAAAATCGGATATACACATTCAACCACATACGGCGTTATGTCGAGAATTGTATCGAAATGATTCACTATCTTCTCATTCTCGACTTAAGGTTGCATGAACATATTCTTGCACATGGTATAACGACTTTACGTCAGGAAATGTATTTGAATCATGAACATGCCCAGCAAACATGTATCGCGCGGGCCTTTAGACACCCCCAAAAAACTGCCGACAGTCAACGAGTCAACATCAGCGGGCCACAATCATGATTCATCGTCGGCCCGGCTAGCCCGTGTCGGGAGTCGGACTCGAACGGATATCCAATCAACTGTCAGACGCTTATACCACTAGGCTACTGCAAAACTTGAAAGATACTATTACGAATCCATCAGTCAACAGAATTGAAATAGCACGAGGCCTCAATTATATGTCATCATACCTTGTTGATTTGACGACGTAGAATAGGTGTAGTCTGATAATATTTGATATATTACTGTGAATCAAATATTTTTCGAATATAGGTAAAGAGCTGAACTTCGCATTGGAGCATCATTGTTATAATATATAGGGTAATGAACAAATATTCAGCTCAAAATCATTACCACAAAAATGGATTGGTAGACAATAACGAGTATAATTATTGTTATATAACATATATCATTCTTGATGTCGGACGATAGTATGCTGAGATCAACCATTAAAAATGCATAAAAGTTTTCTGGAGATATATTGTTATTGTGACACTACACTGTGAGATTATTTATTTAATGGAGTTTGTCTCCAGTGTCGAATCGACAGCGGCTCGAAGAAAAAAAAACATAATAAATAAGCGTACATCATGCCGTGGCGGCACAACCTATCGGTTTGCCGCTGCCGATACATATCCGCTGCTGACAGCGGTGGCCCGCCTATTTACCGCCTATCCATATTTGCTGGGTGTCTTGATATTTTTGATAAAAAGTTGCAACCTTTCTTCTAGATTTGTGTGAAAATAATGTAGGCACCTATATTATCGATTGAAAGTTGGATGTACTCATTTGTGCACTTATATACGACCTTATTATGTTAATTAATATGTGAAGGTAATGCATATTTTGACTAGTTAACCATTAGTTGCATGAGGCACAAATGCATGAACAACCTTTTACAGTTCGAGAAAATGATCAATTCAATCAAAATAGAACGCGTCAAAGTGGCCTAGCTCTATGACTACATTTCTCACATACTTTTTACCCATTTTTTTTCAAATGCACATACGATTTTAAATGATCATAAAAAATGAATATATACAGTACGAATACACCTTCGATATATTTGACATGCGTTGATAGTAGGTACTTGATGAAATTTTCACATTCGCGCCAAAATGTAATTTTCTGAAAATGTGTTACATACAACCTTCTATAATTGAGGGGACGATATGAGGATGTCAATAAGGAATACAGTAGTATGGTATGGGAAACACCCTGTAAGTGTGGATTCAAGGAACACTGTTTATTATGAACTGACCATGGAATAAGTACCTATTGTTTTTTTTTTCATTTTATTTTCATTCAAATAAATGCAGACACAGGTACTTGAACCAAAATGAGCTAACGCTTGGCCCAGAAGAATATGTGTACTCAGATGAGCAATAACAGTCGATCATGATTGATGAATTTTATTCAGTTTGAGATTTGTTTTTAAATGTTCACAATATTCCAAAAAGGTATTTCAGATTCATCAACTTTTTCCGATGGAATAAAAAAAAATTGACATAACCAATTAGTCCAACAATTCAAACAATTCAATACATAGTAAACTAAATTACCGATCTTCCAATGCATTGTAGATGTTAGATCAGTGTAATCAGTGTAAAGGGTATATTGTAATATGCTATGCATTAAAGGATCCTGTACAGATCTTATGGAGAAAGCAGGTCTCGGTCAAATTGGCTGAAATTAGGGTATTTCATAGTTTATATTTTTCTAATCAGAAGTTTCCATACGCGTAAACTTCTCATTCTATGTCGTTTTTTTTATACAGTGTGGAAGTTTGACTTCCGTGAAATGTCGAGTGATCTTAATTTTCTATAAAGCAAGTAATTGTTTGTTTCGAATTCGGTTTGACATAATGAAGGATACAAAATATGGTGAAATCAGTCTTGATCACAATTCAAAATATCCAACATATCGGCTGCGTGTGCCATTTCGATATTTTTTCAATCACGCCTTATAAAAAATATGATCAATGGTGAAATCAGTCTTGATCACAATTCAAAATATCCAACATATCGGCTGCGTGTGCCATTTCGATATTTTTTCAATCACGCCTTGTTATGGACTACATAATGACTATATACTTTGCACTATGCACTTTTTTTAGAAAAATATAGTTAGTCATGTATTTGTCAACAAGAAAAAAGATAATAAAAAAAAAGTAAAAAAAAAGTAAAACCGAACTGATTTTTGCTGTAAAATTAGTGTTTTGCCCGAACATTTGGTCCGTCGAGCCTTCGTACATAACATTTGGAATAAAGAACATTCAATTTAGCTGAAATTGAAGCCGTTTGAGATTCAACGAAAATGTCACAGACCGGAGGTAGTACAAGGAAAACCAGCAGATGTTATGCAGGAATACCGCCAGAAAGATACAGTCCAAACGAAGAAAATAATTCGATAGCTTCTACGTCTGCAAAGTCTAAAAGTTCAATAACAAGCATCAAAATGAAAGAAATTGAATTGAAAAAGTTAGAAGCTATGAATAGAATACGGGAAAATTTTGAACAGAGAAAGCTAGAAAGGGAATTAGCTGTTGTTGAAGCCAAAGCATCTCTGGAAGCAGAAAAATTAATGGAAACTACAAGCGAAAGAAGTAGCAGAAAGAAAGGTGCCAGTAGTGCTAGAAGCAGCAGCACTCGAGCTTCAATAAATATTTCAGGAGGAACATCGTGTTCACATGAGAAAGTCCACTCGTGGTTATTCAAACAGGAATCTTTACATTGTGATCAAGAACCAGATCATCCTACTCATACTATTTCGAATGGAGATTGTTCGAAACCGATTGATTCAGTCGCAGTGGACGTTATCAAGGAATTCACAACTGCAACCCGAAAAATGACAGATGCTTTCAAGTCGTTGTCAGAAAATAATCAAATTCGAAATGAATCATCAAAATTGCCTTTTCGAAATAATCTTGGGAAAGAACTTCCTTCTTTCAATGGAAACATAGAAGACTGGCCTATGTTCATTACCCTCTACAGAAGATCTACCGAAACATGTTGCTTCAGTAATGAGGAAAACATGATACGTCTTCAAAAAGCATTGAAATCAGAAGCTTTGGATACAGTGAAATCGCTATTTGTTTGTCCAGATAATTTGGAAAATATTATTCATACACTTGAGACCAGATTTGGACGTCCTGAGTTCATAATTGATTCTATGATGAATAAAGTGAAGCTTTTACCCCCGGTTAATACAAAGTATGCATTATCATTCATCAAATTCGCAAATTCTGTTCAGAATCTCGCCGTTACTGCTCAGTCATTGAAAATGGAGGCATATATCAACAATCCTCAACTTCTCAGCCAACTCGTATCAAAATTGCCAGAACATCAATCGAGTTGCTGTGATGGGAGATATAGAAGAAATGTTTTTACGAGTCCATATAAATCCGGAAGACAAAAATTCTCAGTTGTTTTTGTGGCGGGGGAGAGATAGAAAAGGTCCTATTCTCACCTATCGAATGGAAGTCATGATATTTGGTGCAATATGCTCCCCAAGCTGTGCTATATATGTGATTCGTCAGAATGCAAAGAAGTATGCCGATAGATGTCCTGAAGCTGCCAAAGCTATTGAGAACCATCACTACATGGATGACTACTTAGATAGCTTTGAAACTGAAGAACATGCCAGCGAAGTAGTCAAGGGAGTCATCGATATTCATAATCGTGGAGGATTCAAAATGAGAGGCTGGCTCAGTAATTCGCCTGAAGTTATCAAAAATGTTCCAGCTGATCTGAGGTCGAAAAGCATTGTAAATTTGGATTTCGAGAAGTGGCCAACTTTTGAGAGGACATTGGGACTGATATGGAGCCCAAAAGATGACCGTTTCAGTTTTTCTGACAAGTTTCTCACGAATAATAGAGATATACTCTCAGAAAACAATATTCCTTCGAAAAGACAAGTCATAAAAGTTGTTATGTCTGTTTATGATCCACTTGGTCTACTAGCGCCATTTACGATTCAAGCCAGGATTCTTATGCAAGAAATTTGGTCCTACAAATTGGAATGGGATGATAAACTGAACTCTCAACTATTCGAAAAATGGAAATATTGGGTGAAGGCTCTGTACAAAGTTGGAAATTTGAATATTCCTCGATGGTATGGTTTCAGCCGAAAAATCATGGAAATTCAATTGCACACCTTTAATGATGGTAGCGAAAAAGCATACGCGTCTGTATCTTACTTCCGAATGAAGGATTCAAATAACCAAATATACACTTCATTTGTGATGGCAAAGTCAAGAGTCACTTCTTTGAAGCCGATGACCGTACCAAAGATTGAACTTCAAGCAGCTCTGTTGGGATCCCGTTTAGCTGAAACAATTTCGAATGGACATGGCCTGAAAATCAACAAGAAGTTCTTCTGGATAGACTCAAAAATAGTACTGAGTTGGATAATGTCACCTCCAAGAAACTACAAGACTTTCGTCGCAAACCGAATAGGAGAAATCTTAGAATCAACGAATTCCGAAGATTGGCATTGGCTTCCGACTAAACTGAACGTAGCAGATGACGCAACTCGTGGAATGTGGGACATCGACAACTACCAAAAATGGTTCAATGGACCTCAATTCCTTATTTCAGATGAAGAATTATGGCCTCAAGAACAAGGAGAGATATCGGCAAATACAGATGAGAAAAAAAGAAAGAATAATGTGTTCGTGACAATAGAAAACATGAAAGGTATATTCGACTTCTCAAGGTTCTCCAATTATTTGCGTCTCGTGAGAGCTGCCGCATGGGTCATCAGATTCATCAACATTTTGAAAATTAAAATTGGCTTATTGGGTACTCAGCCATACTCAAATGAACTCTCGGTGAAAGAATTTGTATATGCTGAAATCGAAATTATCAAGATATCACAGAATGAAAGTTTTGCTGAAGAGATAGAACGAATTATTCGAAAAGAAAATCCTAGCAGGTCGAGTCGTCTGTCAAAGTTGAATCCTATTCTTGACGAAGATAAAGTACTAAGATTGAGCGGAAGATTGGATCAAGCAGAACATTTGGATTTACCAATGAGACAGCCAATCATTCTGGACTCGAAACATTGGTTTACAATATTACTAGTGAGACATTATCATAATTTGAATCATCATCCGGGCAGAGAACAAGTAATTAACCAGTTAAGAGACAGATTTTGGATTATTAATGCGAGATCAGCTGTAAAAAGTTGTGTGATGTCCTGTGTTATCTGTAGGAGGAAAAATGCCAAGTTGGAAACGCAACAAATGGGTCAAGTACCAGATTGTCGCACAATTCCTCAAGTCAGAGCCTTTATGATCACAAGAATGGATTATTTTGGTCCCATGACAGTCACCATCGGAAGAAGAAAGGAAAAAAGATACGGAGTGATTTTCACTTGCATGTCTACAAGAGCCATTCACCTCGAGCTATCTTCCTCTCTAACAACCGATTCTGCAATAATGGCAATTCGTCGATTTATTTGTAGACGAGGAAGTCCTTCTGAAATACACTCCGATAATGGAACAAATCTCTGTGGTGCTGAAAAAGAAATGAAGTTAGCCCTCCAAGAAATTGACGCAGACAAGGTCCAACAGTTTTGTTGTGTTCGACATATTCAATGGTCAAAAAATCCACCAGCAGCCAGCCACATGGGAGGAGTATGGGAGAGGATGATAAGAACTGTCAAAAATGCTCTGAGAACTATTTTAACTGAACAGACACCCAAAGAAGAAATTCTGCATACTCTTCTAGTTGAGGTATAGAGTATACAGTGAACAGCCACCCAATTACTTATGTCTCATCGGATCACCTAGATGACGAAGCTTTGACACCTAACCATTTCCTCATTGGTAAAATGAATGAAGTAGGTTCGCCAGGTGTGTTTTCTGATGCGGACTCTCATTTACGGAGACAATGGCGTATTGCACAAAGATTTGCTGATCTCTTTTGGCGCCGTTGGCTACGAGAATATGTGCCAACGCTGATCAAACGAAGCAAGTGGCAGCACAACAAGAGTGACATCACTGAAGGTGATTTAGCCAAGGAATACATGGCCAAAGGGGAAAATAATACGAACTTTCCCTGGACGCGACAAGAAAACTAGAGTGGTCGAAGTGAAAACTGCAACAGGAACATATCGAAGGCCTATAACGAAGATTGTTTTATTGAAGCCTAAGTAGTCGTTTGCGGTGCCCGGAGAATGTTATGGACTACATAATGACTATATACTTTGCACTATGCACTTTCTTTAGAAAAATATAGTTAGTCATGTATTTGTCAACAAGAAAAAAGATAATAAAAAAAAAAGTCAAAAAAAAAGTAAAACCGAACTGATTTTTGCTATAAAATTAGTGTTTTGCCCGAACACGCCTAATAAAAAATATGATCATACTATACCTTGGGTTTAGAACTATGGGTAATCAACATATTATGGGAGTCTTACCAACATATCATATACCGGATGAAGAGTTATAATGAAGCGTATAGCTTATACTGATTCGTAATTGTTAGAAATGAAACAAAAACCTTGTAGCGTTATCAATTTTGAATGTGAACAAAATTGAGGCGGAGGTCGTATCCGTAATTATACAGGGTAATTGATTCAGTCATTCTACAATTGTCATTATCTCGGACAGTTCGTTACAAAATCAAGATCCAAAAAATCATAATTAACCAACTCAAAAACTTGCAAGGAAACAATCAGTGATTAGAATCAATATACAGAGTGAAATAAAAACATTTATACCACTCCTGTTGATATTGCTCAGTAATGTAGTAATATAATTTTGAGAAATTTACATCTAGTATGAAATATAGGTACAGTGAGATGCAATATCGCACATGGACGATGATAGCACTTCTAGTCACTCTGCGCTAACACTATCCAACCGTATGAACCGTGACATGTTTTTCGCATCTGACAATGTGGTCACCCAAACAATACATATTTACATGTGTGTCTGGTCTGAAAAAAAAACTAGAAATGAAATCTATCTAATATTACCACATTATCATCACGAAATTAAATTTCTTGAGAGCTTTAGACTGATCAACTGATTTCTTATTTTGCGCCAAAATTACCTGAATAATCGCGTAATCGGTCAATCTGTGAATAAAATTTACAACCATATATTTTATCATAATTTTATCTCATTAATTGAATATTTTCTTGTAACATGCAGTGAACGCATGACCACCTGTTCCTAAATAGGTAATGAGAATGTTTTAGGGTGTTGGTATGCCATGACTCATCATCCTGTATAGAACGTTGGTTAGAATCCTATCAGTCATTCCTCTCTTGAAGAAGACTTCAAATGAGGTAGGTACTGTATTATGTGTGATTCAAAATTACTATACACACACATTCCAAATCATCATATATTGTATGCTGGGAAGACTCCCATTAGTCCATTCAATATAGGTATCCCTTGTGGTTTTTGAATGGTGATCAAAACAAAGTTCACAATATTTTCCATCCTTTATTATGTCAAACCTAATTTGAATACAATCACTTGTTTTACTGATAAATTAAGATCACTTGACATTTCAGTCCCACGCTTTGTAAAAAAAATGTGGATAGAAGTTTGATAAAAATAACATAAACTTTAAAATTTCAGCCAATTTGACCAAAACCTATTTCCCATAATATGTGTGTGGGGTCCTTTCATTGAAATAACGCGTAATATGGATTATTTTCGATATACTGCTGAACTGAAGAATACTTTGGTATAAATTCTGACAACCTCAAGCATATAAACTGAATGCCCTGTATAAACATACATATTTCAATAATGTATGAACCTAATTACTGCTAGTCTCTATCCTACCATCATCACATTTTAATTTTTGTACAATTTTTTCTAGATGTGATGAAACTTGGTCAACCAGTTCCTTTGTCTCGTCCCAATCCTGTTTTTTAATTGCAGCAATAGCAGAATTCAAATTCAACCTAATAGAATTCACGATTGTGTCTTTAGGGTCGATCTCGTTGTCTAGAACTATGTCTGCTAATTTAATACAAACATAAAGGACCTGCTGACACGTAGAAGGATTTTTATCCCATGCACCTTGTGTATAACCTCTGTAAGCTCTTTGCAACCTCTGAGTCCGTAGAAGGATAGCTGGTGCTAAGTTAGCATACAATTCCCATATATAACCTTCTCCTGGGTAAATTGCAGTGACTCTACCCAAGAGTTCCCTTGTCTTTTGTAGGAATCTTTGGGCAGGTTGTCCTTCAACATCATTAACATCATTACATACATTATAAACCAGTACGTTCAAAACTTCAATATTCAAGTACTTTTCTTTGAGATCCAGAAGCATATGGTATGCCCTAATTACATCAGAAAAGTTTGAAATATCACAACTTACTACTAGGAGATTCTCCCAAACTTTCCAATTCTCAAAGTTGCATTTTAAAGCTTCCAGAATGGCTTGATGAGCATTTCTCTTATTCCCAATCTTTATGTAAGCTTGTGCCAAATTATTCCAAGCTTCAAATCCATCAGGCTCTAGAAATGTATATCTTCTATAAGCTGTAGCAGCAGTCTGCCAATTTTCAGTTTGCAAGGCAGCATAACCTAAACGGAACCATACGTTGGATTGTAAGGGATTGATGCTGACCGACTTTTCGAAATGTGGAATGCATTCTTCGAATTGTTTTCTTATGAAGAGATATTGGCCCCAGTGACGCTGGGCTCTGTGACTTCGGCGCTTTGATAGTTCCCAGGCTTTCTCATAGCAATTTATGTCATCTGTGGCATCACCTGCAAAAACACCACAAGATCCATATTGATTATTTTAAATAGCCTCTTTGTTTCATTCATAAATTGGCCTCCACATAGTCAGATCTTGAATCGAATCAGAATATGCAAGATATATAAAAGCTTAAATTCGCAACCGACAACCAGAAACCAGTACACATTTCCGACTAGCTATTCTCAAAGAGTGGGAAAGCATGCATTAAAGGGCAATATTTGATTGGGTTTAATCCTAACATCGTTTTCAGAGCATATGGAGGCAAAACATGATATTATTGTTTCATTTTCTGTTCATTCACTTTACCGCGTGATTTAGCTGACGGTGAACTAATCCGATAGGGGGTAGTGATTTGACTTATTTCAGAAAGAATTCGTACCATCAAATGCTTCACCATCAGTGACGTTCATAATTTGAATAAATAGGTTAAAAAAAATTGGAAATGCCGTCGTTAATATATTATTACTGTCTGAAACGGTTGTGCATAAAATGTTGCCGGTACTCCAGAATAAAGCAATGCGAATTCTGCTTCGTTGTAGCAGGTTTACTGCAGTAAATGATATGCTGAAGACCTTGAAATTTCTCAATATTTCCCAACTGATTGTAGAGTCGTCTTTGGTATTAATTTTTGGAATTGTCAATAAGCAAGCTCCTTCCTACTTGCAAAAAAACCTAACCAAAAGGGCAGATATGATACATTATAATTTGAGGTTCAATGATCAGTTCTACATACAAGGTTTCAACACAAATGCTTTGGAAAAAACTCTCTTCATTGAAGGTTTGAGATGTATAATGATCTACCTCTTCTAGTTGAGACATCAGGAAATGTAAGAATATTCAAAACAAGATTGAGAAAAATGTATTTTGATGTATGGATTATATCGTTTATGTGTGATATATATCGAATGTGTAATCATGTATGGTTATGTAATAGCTATCGATGATAAATAAAGCTCTATTCCATTTTATTCTATTCATCTCATGTGTAACTAGCGCATCAATATACTTCGATTAGGTTCGGTTCATTACCTACCTGCTATGATCCATGGTCTATTATCTCCTATTTTACGTCTTTTAGAATAGAAATACTGATGCGAATCAACAATATGTAAACTTGTTTACTGTTCAAATCGAAAATCAATAGTTGTAGCATTGTTCCTGGTAATTCTGAATCCGATCAATTTTGAAGAATACTATCAAAAAGCAAAAGAATGGATAGCTATTTACAAACTATGAGTTTTCCTCAGTCAGTCCAGTCAATCACTGGAAATTTTCGTGATAGAAAGTCATGTTGTAGAGTCTCAATGATGGTGATTTTCTGATGAATTGTAGCCGACTACATCGAAATAATTCTTAAATATCGTTTTGACACAAAATAAAAAGAATTGTCTCATATACAACGTGTCCCATAGTTAGCGAGACTTTGGAATCAGATTACACAACAATGAATAAAGAAAAAGCTCCTGTGAACATGGGTCGAAACATGTTGAGAAAGGAATATTCTCAGATATATCATAAATATGAAATGAATTGAAAGTAAAAAAAAAGTTCAATGAAAAGCTTTTATTAAAACGCTCTAAAAAGAATTAAATGAAATGTTCCTTTATAATATCAACTATCAACTTATAACATCATTATACACAATTTATATGATCATAAAAGCTTGTCGTGCGATTTAATTGTGTGAATAAACTAGTTCTAATTCAATTTTATAAAATCTGCTGTTTTAATTCTTAAAATATCAATTTAATTAAATATTGATCATCGCGACAAGCTTTTATGATCATATAAATTGTGTATAATGAGGTTATAAGTTGATAGTTGAAATTATGAAGGAACATTTTATTTTATTCTTTTTAGAGCGTTTAAATAAATGCTTCTTATTGAATTTTTTGTTACTTTAAATTTATTTTTTAATTTTTAGTTATCGCTGGCTAGGTTTCTCAGTATGTTCATTTCATTCAACGCATCACTGTTGCAATGTTGCCGCAGCGAAAAACTTCAATAGTGTGCCATATTGGATTTAGAGTGATGTCAGATTATTTCCAATTATTCTCGGCAAGCCCTTTTATTTGATACCCATATTGCAGAAGTGCATGAATAACAATTATTCCGCCATCTTGGAAGTTCTGCCATATTGGATTTAGAATAACGTTACATTATTTTCCGAGTTATTCTCAACGAGCCGTTTTATTTGATACCCATATTGTAGAAGTATATAAAAAATAACTATTCTGCCATATTGGATGGTCTGCCATATTGGATTTAGAATGACGTCACATTATTTTCCGAGATGTCAGGAATGTTAGTGACTGAAAATGACTTAGGTTTAAAAAGGTTTCAAGTTGAGATATGGGTGTTTAATGGGTGTTATCTATTAGAAAACAAAGGTTTATGCTGTCCAACCAAAAACCGACTTGTATACCTATATACAAATAATTTTGTAGAATAGATTCATTTATAGGCACTGTGTATAATTTGACAATATGAATATTCTTCAGAAATATCATGCATCTGCCCGTTGAATGATATGATCATTTCCTCTTAAATTTTAAAACTGCGACGACAGTGGTTTTTTCGGTATGCATCTGCAGATGACATTATTTCGACAAGAAAATTCGTAACTTTGATGGGATCGAGATATATATAGTCGATGCTATTGAAGGAATAGATAGATACCACAGGGACGCTTCAAAACATGTGCTAATTTACATGACATTCCATTTTTATAAAATGTGCAGACTCTCTTTTTGGATCATGTTTCTAGCTATCAAAGAACTCAAGCAATCGAGCTCCGACGTATGAAATATGAATATAGGTATTTACATTATGGTATTTACTATTCTATACAAACAATACCTCATCTTTCTGAAAATTATCACTCCTGTGATAAAAGAGTCTTATAGATGAGATATGAGCGTTTTTTTCAAATCATTTTGAAAATGAACGTAGCTAAAACATTATCCATATATGTATTTAACCTTTATGATTATGAAAGTCCCTTTGGTAACAATATACTAATCAATACGCATGGGAATTTCAGTTTTGGAGTGATTCTTTCCTTCATTTCTACTCAGATGGCGTTGCTTTCATACTATCTATGAAGGACGCCTCTGGGGGAATAAAATGCCGACTTGATTTTTGTTTGGCTAGGCTACGCTAAGTCGGCGGTCATAGGACTGCTAGCTGGAGACTGCCCTGCACTGATGAGAGTCAAAGAGCTTGAAACCGGTCTGTTGATGTCTAGCGTGGCTTGGCTTAATCGAAATCAATAGGCATTCAGGAAAGAATCACTTATATCAGTATTCGTTTATAAGAGTCGATGCATAGATTTCGGGAGGATGCAATTCAATGTCCTGCGTGGCATTAGCCAGGAAAGTAGTTGTTTTTCTCCCGAAATCTACCATTGTTGTTCATTTTATGAACATTGTGTGGAAATGACTTTGAGCTTTTCGTATTTATAGATATTGTGGTCAATAACTCAACACAAATAAGGTGGAAATTTGCAAAATATGATAGGTAATTATCAGATTGGCCGACTTACCTGGTAAGGATGATCGATCTGAATTATTTCTTTGAATTTGTGCTGACTAGTATGAATATTGCATTCTGCAGAGTGTAATAATCATGGAGGGCAACAGCTTCATTTTATGAACATTGTGTGGAAATGACTTTGAGCTTTTCGTATTTATAGATATTGTGGTCAATAACTCAACACAAATAAGGTGGAAATTTGCAAAATATGATAGGTAATTATCAGATTGGCCGACTTACCTGGTAAGGATGATCGATCTGAATTATTTCTTTGAATTTGTGCTGACTAGTATGAATATTGCATTCTGCAGAGTGTAATAATCATGGGGGGCAACAGCTGGAATAATTCAGATCAATCATCCTTACCAGGTAAGTCGGCCAATCTGATAATTACCTATCATATTTTGCAAATTTTCACCTTATTTGTGTTGAGTTATTGACCACAATATCTATAAATACGAAAAGCTCAAAGTCATTTCCACACAATGTTCATAAAATGAACAACAATGGTAGATTTCGGGAGAAAAACAACTACTTTCCTGGCTAATGCCACGCAGGACATTGAATTGCATCCTCCCGAAATCTATGCATTGACTCTTATAAACGAATACTGATACAAGTGATTCTTTCCTGAATGCATTTTATTTTTTCACACCATTGGATATCTCAAAAACTATGAGCTATCCCGAATTTCCATTTTCCTACATTAACTGATATTTTCTATATTTTTCTAATATTTATTACCATACTGTCATTTTTGTAAAGGAAACATTTGAAACATTGGATTTAAAATTGTGAGTGAGAATTGAAAAATTTACAGTTTTGGTTTCTGTTCTGGTACAGGTGATGAGAGAGTCAAATCTGTCTCACCTGCATGGCTATATCCGAGGGGTAATCCACTCTCTCAAAAACGTACATGGATTGGACAGATTGGACCTCGAATTGAACAGATATTATAGGATATTATGGAATATTAAAAATACGAGATTGGACATTTGCATTGTGAGAATAGGAAAATTGGATGGACGTTGGATTGGACATATTTCATCGGGATTGGACACCAAGTGTGCAAATATTGGACATAGTGGTTGACCCCTTGGCTATATCCTTCTCTTATTTCCTCAGCACTGAGCATGTGAGTGGTAAGAGCATTCAATATACTGAGAAGTATTTGAAATTTGAATGTAAATAAATAATTATTAATAAAAACTTGAAATAAACTAAACTAAGTATTGGTGTTGAAGAAAAAGCAAACGGTTCTTTAACAAATTGGATAATGCCAATTTGTAGGAAAGACAAAAGGGCCAGTGTGAGCCAGTGAAGTGTTTTTTTTATCGCTTGGAGCGCACCAGAGGGAATCCCATCAATTTCTTCTAATAATTACAAAAAATATTTTTGTTTATCTGTGAAAGAAATTTTACAAGGTTCAAAATGGCATTTTGGCATAAAATTGCACAACTTTGCCATGATTTAACCCACCCTGTATCTCTTATGGTTTATGAGATCCCAATGGCAGGGCTCAAATTTCAGTCACCCTGTACAAGAACTTGACATTGTCATGACATGAAAGCTATAGGAAAACCTTCTTGACTCCTTGCTCAGATTGAAAGTTATACATGTTTTCCAGTAGTTTTTATGTCATTGCAACTTGGCACTGTGAATTTGCTCTGCAGGCAGCTTCTGCTAAATATACATTTGTGCAAAATATATCACCTTTCACTCTAGATATGTGGTTACTATTCTCGGTAGCTAAGGTCATCATCTGACATTGCTAAGACATGAAAACTATGGAAAAACATTCCTAACTCCTGACTTAGATTGAAAGTTAGACATGTTTTCCTATAGTTTGATGACCTTGGCTACTGTGAATTATGAACTTGCCACTAAGCAACTATTTAAAAAATTAGCAAATGTATTAAGATTTCAAAGTACTGTACCTAGTAGACACCAGAGTTTGACACTTGGCTTCTCATTAAGCTGTTCCTGGATAATCTCTGCAGCTTTGTGCCTCAACTTCAAAATAGTATAGCAAACTATAACCTCCTCCCAAAGATTAATTTTCAAATATATATCAAGAGCATTCTTAACAAGTCCCATATTCAACAGCAGGTCAGCATACTGTGTCTCAATTTTCCAAATTGGGGGCATGCCACTGCCAAATACATCAATTACCCTGTTGAATGGGGGAGGGTCTGGTCTCTTCAGGCTGTTAATTATTTCTTCACATTGACCTAGTGAACGTTCAATTGTACGTCTGCTTTTACTTTCTAGTTTGCATCTCAACAGTAAAGCAACTACACGAACTGCATATGTGTTTCTTTTAAGACTTAGAATCATATTTAAAAAGGGTTGTAGCTCTTCACCCTGTAACTCATCCTGAGGTTTGGCAATCAATGTCTCTTGGACAATAGTGATAAACAGTTTCTGCTCAGTAGTTGTTAATTTAACTTTTTCTCCTACCTCAGTAAACTCAATGAAATCCAGACGCACATCATCATTTAGAGGAATATTTTCAGGATTGATTGAATAATCTTCTTCTATACTTTCAATACTACTACTCTTTTCTTCTAAGGTAACTTTTAATGACAGTTGAGGAATATTTTTTTCTTGGTACTTTGTACGCTTGCCCAGGATTCCTACCAGGTTATAGTGAACTCCCAGGAGTTTACTAGCTGAGAGAATGTGTTCTTTGGCCTTTGACACATGTCGAAATAGTAAGTAGAGTTGTGCAACTTCTATGTCAAGAGAAGCCTTTATATTAGCTAAAAAAAATATGTGAATAAAATACATGCACAAGAATATAATGTCATTCTTATTTTTTACCATTCAAGTCTGGATCACCTTGAAAATATTTATATATTCTATCAGCATCTGAAAGTAATGTTGGACTCAATTCATCCAGTATTTCTTGATGGATCAGAATTGACCTCCAATACCACCAGTTGTTAATGTTGTTATCAACAACACATAGTTCAAAAATTATTTTTGCTGTGACTAATAGAGCAGGAAATTTTGTATTCACATTAATATCTTCATTATTCATGGACAGACGTCTTGTGAATGGAATACTGAGAAAAGCCTCACCATTCAGAAAATCCTCTATTTTCTTATCTAGATTAGGCCCAGTGAAGTTGCACTGAACAAAACAAATAATACAAGATATTCCAAATTTCAATACTTTGATACGAATTTCTTCAGGCAGAGTTGAGAAGTGGATCTTCAATAAGCTACTATCAAATGATTGCTCGAAAAACATCTTCCAGCTTTCTTCACAAGATATACAACTGGTGAAACTCCAGTTTTCTTTGAACTCATCCTGGTATGCAGCAGAGTTATCAAAAACTAGAAAGTAGTCCTGCAAAGTCATTTCTAGTTCCGACATGATGGATTTATTATATTATTAAATTAGGAAATTTCGATGAATGATACACTCCTTTCATATTAATGAAACTTTTATGAAAAAATTCATTGAACACATGTCAACTACACTACACAACAAACAAGAGGTTGTCTTAAAGTTTAAAATCTAAATTCTAACCTCACAAGCAGCACAAGTGAAAGCAGTGCTGCCAATGCAATTCGAGTCCTTCCTTCTCGTTAGCACGTGAAATCCTCCGCAAATGAACGAAAACCTCCTCTTTTCGACACTGTTATAAAAGGTATGAAATGAAATCTGACGATAAAAATGTCTTCAAATGTCTTCTACTTTCAAAAAGTTTCGTTTTTCGTCAATCTAATTTAATTTTTTGACAACTGTCAACAGTTATTTCATGTAATTCCTTTAAGTGAGACGGAATGAAAGGTTGGAACCAGAATCGGAAAAGTAATAAAACGACACATTAAAGTGATTCCGGTGGTGGAATCGGATAAAAACGCATCTTATGACTATGGAACTTGACAACATCCACATCATTGACACCGACCACCGATGGTCATAATATATTCATGTTCAAACATATGGTTCAAACCCTTATCTAAGTTCAAACCACCACAGAAGCTCAGAACAAGAACACAGACTCCGACTTCATAGACTCACGGAGGATTCGATCACGATCATGGTCAGATATTGCGCGCACAAGCCTCAACTAAAGACACTAAAGTTGAGTAACAAAATTACAGTGATGGCTAAAAAACCCCTTTCCTCCGCTTTTTGTGAATCCTCCTTCAAAAAAACCTCTAACGCCAAAAACAACCCCTTTTCGGAGGATCCTCCGCACATTGGCAGCACTGAGTGAAAGTGACCTCGCTCAGGACCTCGCTCACTTGTTGTCAGCGGTACTAAATAAGTGCTTCATTTTTTCAAGCGGTGTTCACAACCAAACTTTTTACGTTTTGCTTTTTACGTTTCGTATTCTGATTGGTGAAGCAGAATCTGAAATTAAACTGAATTAAATTTATGTGAATGTCATTCACAAAAAAAATGAACGTGACTTTTTACGGCTTTTCTCAGTTGCCTTAGTTCAGTCATCGTGTTCAGTCATTTGTGTTCCATCCTGAAATGAAGTTGAATAATCATAACAATAATATTGATTAGATAATTAATAATATCCATAGAACTGGCGGTAATGTATAGATTGATCCTTATTCAATACTTGAAGAGAAAAATAAATCCTTAAGAAAAAAAAAAAAATTGAACAGTATAAGTATACCTATTTTATATTCCGTGGATTCACGAAAAAATCATGAGCAGAAACATTATCATAACTTTCATATTGAACGTTCCAGAAAAAGCAATAGTATATTCTAGAGTCACTGGATGGTATCAGTTAGATGATGTATCTTCCATTTTCATAACAATATCATTTGTTAATTTTGCTGATTTCACAGATGATGGCTTCTTGCAACGCGATAAGCTGAATAACGAAACGTAAAAAGCAAAACATAAAAAGTTTGGTTGTGAACGCCGCTTTACTAGATTTGACGTGGTAGTACTAATAGCGAATTCCATTGGTAAAACTGGCTCGCGCGGAAACATTGAATATGAAGATTTTGAAAACCAAATTGTTAGTGGCGGTAATCAAGGCATCATCAAATAGTGATGAAAGGTTGAAGGTTTCAAGAAAATGAGGGAAATTACTTCACAGAATTCATAATTTTGTTGAAAGTATTTCGCAAGTTCAATGATAAATAGGTAATCATTAAAAAAAGTAGGTACTCAAATTATTTATTCATATTTTCAAATATTAGAATTAAGAAATGATTTCAGGGTTCAAGTTTCGTTTAGCTGAAATCAGTCATGGAAAATTTGTTGCTATGGCAACCGTTGTCATGGTAACAGGTGAACAGAAAACAAAATCCCGTGGTGAGGAAATGCATGGTTGCCAAGTTGTATCGGGTTTGGCTCAAGTTTCATTTAGCTGAAATCAGTTATGGAAAAACTGTTGCCATGGCAACGATCGTCATGGTAAGGAGTGAACAGAAAACCGATTTTCATGGTGAGGAAATGCGTGGTTGCCAAGTTGTATCGGGTTTGGCTCAAGTTTCGTTTAGCTGAAATCAAATATGAAAAAACTGTTGCCATGGCAACGATCGTCATGATAACGAGTAAACAAAAACCCGATTCCCGTGGTGAGGAAATGCGTGGTTGCCAAATTGTATCGGGTTTAGTATAGCTGAAATCTATGGAGGTCTTTTTTACTTTTTAATACAAATGGAGTTCATGTTTCTCCGAAACTAGGATGCATGTATTGTAGAAACACCTATTGTAAAAACCGATAATCTGCGCTACATTGAAAGCATAGTATTGTAAAAAAGCAATTTTCGCAATGCATAAAGTTTCATGACAGTAGATGAGATACATTTTTGCGATAACTAAAGTCTTTATCTATGTTTTTGCAACAGATTGATTTTCAGGTTTCGATCTACTTTCGATTATCTTTTTCTTCTTCTCTACTTATCTTAAATCATAGACGAAATGTCCAAAACAACATTGGAGAAGCTGGAATTCAAGCCCTACTTCGGTTTCGGACGAATTCAGTTCCGTCTGAAAGGCGGTCGTGGAGGGAAAGAACCTTCCCGAACGCAGCAAGAGGGGGAGAAGGAAAGCACTCCTCCAAAGTCGGTCGCAAAGGGAGCACCGCAAGGGAAAGGCCGATCCTTCCCGAAAAGTGCCCCCCAGACCAAACAGCCTACGAGGAGGGTCTCGGGAAAGGGAAAATCCATCCCGAATAGACCACCACTCGTCAAGAGTGCCGGCACCTCCAGAGGGAAGGGGAGCAAACCGCCCTCTGGGGAAGGCGGGGGAGGACCGCCTAAAGAAGGCAAGGAAGGAACTGGCTGACACGTCAGTCAGGCTCTTGCAGGGTAACCTGCAACATGCCAAGGCCGCCACCTACGTCCTTGGCAAAAAATTCATTGAGGAGCGGATAGATCTGGCCCTCATCCAGGAACCCTGGACATCCAACACAGGCCGAATTACCGGCCTGAGTAATACATCTGGTAAGGTAATTGCAGTCAGCTCTGGGGTAAGACCCAGGGCATGTATCCTAGCCAGAAGCAACATTAACTATTTTATTCTTTCAGATTTCTGCACCCAAGACATGGCAACTATCCATGTGAAGTTTCCAGAGAGAGGGAGTATGACGGAACTTATCGTCTGCTCAGCATACTTTCCTGGAGACGCAGGGGCAGAACAACCTCCTCCAGCGGCCGTGCGAGAACTAATTGCCTTCAGCCGGAGGAACAACACCCATCTGGTGATAGGATGTGACGCCAATGCACACCATATAGCGTGGGGCAGCACAACCATCAACACGAGGGGTGAGTCTCTTTTTAATTACTTGATGGGGGAGGAGCTCACAGTTAACAATATGGGCTCTGAGCCAACCTTCATCAATAGTATTAGGAAAGAGGTACTAGATTTAACAATCAGCTCAGAATTTCTAAGCAATAAGATATCCAATTGGAGGGTATCCTCTGAACCATCATGCTCAGATCATAGACACATTCAATTCAACATTGAAATAGGCCCCAGGCCAGTGGTACAATACCGAGACATACGGAGCTTGGACAGGGAAGGATACAAAACCTCCCTGAAGAACCATCTCCAAAACGGACTGACCACAACACATAGTCGTGAACAAATAGATATTGCTGCGGAACATCTGCAAACCGCACTTATCTCAGCATATCACGAAAACTGTCCACTAAGGGAGAAAAAGGATAACCGAAATGCTTCTTGGTGGAACAAAAATCTGGATAAATCACGAAAAGAAGTTCGAAGACTATTCAACCGAGCTAAAGAATCAGGTGAATGGGAAAACTACAGGGTTGCTCTAACCACATATAACAAAAATATCCGGAAAGCAAAAAGAGAATCATGGGAACGATTCTGTGAAAATGTGTCCAGCACATCAAGCGGAGCTCGTATCCACAAGATTCTATCCAGAGAGCCGACACAGGAGCTGGGATCGCTTAAACGTCCAGACGGCTCCTTTACGGCCTCCAGGAAAGAAACACTAGAGCTATTAGCTAATAACCACTTCCCAGGTAGCCTGATTCTGGACAAACGACCCCCAGTCACAAACGCAGGCCGAACAAAACGACCGGGCAGAGGTGACTGGATGGCTGCCAACAAAATAATCACACCACAAGCGATAAGATGGGCGGTTAACTCGTTCCACCCATACAAATCGCCAGGAGAGGATGGCATAGCTCCAGTTCTGTTACAAATCGGACTGGAACTTATTGTACCTATACTCACAAGACTCTTTAGAGCCAGTTTAGTCTGGAACTACATTCCACCCAACTGGACTGCGACTAGGGTGATCTACATTCCGAAGATAGGTCGGACTGACCCACACCCTAAATCGCTCAGACCCATTAGTCTGACATCCTTTCTGTTGAAAAGCATGGAGAAAATACTGGATGGACACATGAGGTGCGGTGTACTAACAAAACACCCCCTTAATGTTCACCAGTATGCCTACCAAGCTGGCAAATCAACAGAACTTGCCCTCAATAACCTGGTCTCAGGAATAAACGACGCCCTGGAACAACAGGAGATAGCAGTCGCAGCATTCCTGGACATAGAAGGAGCATTCAACAATGCACTACCTCATTCCCTCTATGAGGCTACTGCCTCCAGGGGAATTGAACCAATACTATGTGACTGGATAAGAACTATGCTTCATAGCAGAACCATAACGACCTCCCTACAGGGGGAAAGTGTCGGCTTCAAGCCAGCCAGGGGCTGCCCGCAGGGGGGAGTCCTCTCCCCTCTGCTGTGGTCACTGCTGGTGGATGATTTGCTGGCCATTCTCTCGATATGGGAGGTCGATCTGCAAGCATATGCTGACGATCTGGTCCTAGTAATACGAGACAAATCCGAAGAGACGATCTCCTACGTCCTTCAGGATATACTAGATACCATATATAAATGGTGTGAGAGGGAGGAAATGTCCATTAACCCCCACAAAATGGTCATAGTACCGTTCACCAGAAAAAGGAAGCTGGAACATCTAAGACCTCCTTCCATCAATGGTGTAACAATTCCTTTCGCGAGTGAAGCAAAATATCTTGGACTAACCCTTGATAAAAAGCTAAATTGGAACTCGCACC